CAAGCATGACTAAATGTGTTGTCGCGCGGCAAGCATGCGTGCCAGCTTCGGTTACAGCTACCGGAGCCCGGGACTTCGACACGGTGACGTCACGCTCAAGCCTTTCTTAATATACCCTCATTAACGAACGAAACCCTGTTCGAGACGAAACAATGTGCACATTCACTCGACACGAAATTCGACTCGTAATCACATATTAAACCATTATTTCTTGTTATGCAGGATCCTTTTAAGGTACAGAACGTAAAAACAGCTTTACTGTAAAAGTATACATTATTGTGTTACTATGAAAAATACTACTCTACATTATGATACCATAGTAGCTTAACTTATAATTTGCTTACACAAAGTTCTTATCTAATGATCTAAGGACAAACTACAATCTGGAAGCATCTACTACATATACCAAAAAAAAAATACCTAAAAAATAATATTAAGATTTAAAAAAAAAATATTGACGCAAAATTTTTAATCGACTAATCATAACAACTTAGAAGACAAATAGAGCGGGTACGCTTATTAAAAATATTTGTTTGGCAAACACACCGCCCCTTTTCGTGGTTACCCTCAGAGACTTGGGGCTTGTAGTGGTTTGCAAATAAAAGTAGATCAAAGAGTCGAGCGGGCACTTCAGCAAGTAAAACGTTTCAGATTCTTCTCATGTCGACGGTTAGACTTCTGAATTGCATATAAACTTCTGTCATAAATGTTTGTATTTACTTAGCGTTTGCTTTCACTTAGGCATAATACAAAAAGTTCCATTCGAACTACATGCTTGTAGTTTCTGTTACTAAAAATTTATTAAATTGTGACTGTAACCCTATATAAGATTTTAAAGTTTTTAAAACGCAGTTTTAGTCATAACCTAATAACTTGTCAGTGCTTATGAATACTTAGCAAGTTAGTGTGCATTTATTAACATTGGACATTTTTAACCAACCTAGAAATGTTCGACAAAATTACGTAATAACGCCTCCAAGAATGAGCGATGAATTTTTTGATCCTTCCAAAGCAGGATAAAATTATGGCTAAAACCGTACAAAGTCTCTCCAGGCTATTTTATGTTTACCATGGCCTGGTTAACGCTGTTTACTCAATATATAACACGGTTATTGACACAGCGGGATCATTAATACAGACGAAGAACCCACTTATTAATTTTAATAAGTAGGGTGACTCTTTGAAGGGGCGTCGACACTAAGCAAAGTTTGTTTTATTAGTTTTGATTTTATGTGTGGTATTTCGTTTGTGTTTTAAAACACCATACTTTAAAAATGCCAAACTTTAATATAGAAATCTTTTTTAAAGACAACTTGGCTATTAAATGACATTTAATATCAACGCCTGTAGATTTTTTGTAGCAATAAAACTTTAATACAACTTAAACGTTTAGAAAAAAAAATGTTATGATTTATATTATTATTGTTGCTTAGTATAGTATAAAAAATTACATTGGTAGACGTCTGGCCCTGCTTAGTCACCGTATCATTGGGAGTTAACGAACCCCTAGCGTTAGATACCATAAAACTGTCTGTATAGTAGGCGCGCGCCGCCCGCCGAGCATCTCTAAATTGCATTTTAATCTAATTATCAGATGATATAATTTTTCGGTTCTCTTATAATCAAATAATAGAGACATTATCGAATTAGAATGCTTGGTTCGGGGACAGGCGGGTGACACGTCTCTGCTCTTATGTTTATAATTTAAATTTAACTTAATTAGGGTAAACAGTAAACAGGAATATCGAATACTTCAGTTCATTCGACTTTAACGTATTTCAGCATTCCTTTTATGAATCCAAGTTACCACAAAACAATATTCTAATCGTGTCAATTGTATTTTTAAACTACAAAATGGCAACGACCTGGGTCGATTGATAATAGTCAAATATCCAATAACATTCTTTCGTAAATGTTTAATGGTGTTTAAACTTATTTTCAGGATCACTTCTAGTTATAGTGAATGGTAATTGACATAATTGTTTATTGCTTTTTATTGTCCTTTTACGATTGAAATTATTATCAAGATATCTAGGTATATATTAATGTTATAAAGAGGAGAGAAATGTATTTTTGCATGTATCAAAATAACTCAAAAACTTATGGGCCGATTTCAAAAAATCTTTCACTATTAGAAAGCTACTTTATCAGTAAGTAATATAGGCTATGCTTTTTTTGTTTTATTATACGCAGGCGAAGTCGCGAGCAACAGCTAGTTACTAGATAAAGTACTAATTTACAAAGTCAGAATATTGTGGTAAATCTCTTTACGTCTGATGAATACGCGGTGCTATTGTTCTATATTATGGTTATTCTTAAACAAACCAGTTTAATAATAATTCACTAGTACCATAGAGCGATGCACTTTAAGCAGATGATAAAATATTATTGTTACATATATTTGTATGTTATTAGGGCGGCTCTATACGTCGCTAGTTTCCCATGGAAACGTAATACCGAGAGCCGGCGCCGCGGCACGCGCACGCCGACGCCTAAGGGAAAATCAAAAGGAATACGACAAATACGAATGATGTTAAACATGAATACTTGTATGCATTTTGTTGATATGAATCTAAACTAAATTGCTTTCATAAGTATTGGTCAATATTTTTATGGTAAATGAGTATAAGTTAGGTATTTTGGTAAGCCACGTTAAGATTTGGGTTTTATGATCTAATTCTATAGCTGTCTAGTGTTATAATAACAGCCGTGATATTAAAGTATTTTAGAGTAAACAGTAAGCATCCGACTCGAAGGACCAAAATTTATTGCGTAAAAGTTTTTTTTTATTATACAGACAAGTGAATTGGTAATATGTACAGTACAAAGAAAGAAAACTCAATCACATTGTAAATGGAGTTCTTTCTTTTTTTTAACTGCTTGAAACCTAAAAACATGTAAAAACACCATTAACAATACATATTAGTTATATTTATTGTCCTCTACTTATGTTAGTATACTATACTAACTAAATCTAGTTTATTTATCTACTTCATAAACTGTTGGTAATAGTCAGCGAACTTAAAGCACTTATTGATTCCGAGTACACGGCTGTCGGGCTCCATCACATCAAGTATCAAATAGTAGAAGGAGTGAAGCGCTAGCAATGCGCATCAACCCTCAATTACGGACCGGCGCCCGCGCACGCGCCCGCACCCGGGGGAGACCGCACGCGACTGCCGCTGCCCGCAACAATTATCAACCGAATCAGGACTACACTAACTTTTTTTATTCAATTTGCGACAAGTTCTATTGTAAGGCTAGTGATCGATTGTAAAATAAATATTTTATTCAACTCTATAGATCTATACAAGTAATTATGTTGCTAACACTTGTTACAATTGTAAGTATGGTTTCAGAAAATAAAATATCACGAAAACGTGTAAAAATGTGATAAGGAAAAGCTTTTTGTTAAGACGCAGCTTTTGTAACACAAACCACACCTAAATAGTCATATGTTAAGTATTTTAATGAGAGTGTTCAACACATTGATATTACATTTAAACTTTTATATGAATAAGGGAATTAATTTATTCATAACCTGACATGGGTAAAAAATAAAATTGTAATATATGATACCATAAAATAGCGAAATTAGTAAAGATTGAACGTTTTGATGTTATTCGCAATACAAACATTCAATAATCACATACACTAGCGTAACAAATGATTTGTTTTGCTTAATATCGTGTTCAGTTTGTTTCTGGACGTCACTGATCCCAAAGGGGAGGGAGGAAGGGGGCAGAGTGACGTCGGCAGTGATTTATGCCCTCGTAAAGTTGCACACGCGGCTGCCCTCGCGTTCACTTGTATAATTTATTGTACGCATACAAGTCACGCTTTACCCGACTGAGTTGTTAGATATATTGGTAATAATGCAATAGTACCAAGAGTTGAGCACACCTGGACTTCAGTGTTGCAATATGTTGCAATGTGATATTTACTAAAAAACAAAATCCATAAATAAGTGCACATAGTACAACTTAAAGTAAAATAATGGCTGATATTTAACATAGAAGTTTGATGGTCACGTCACAACTTGGTAACCATTTAATTACACGATTCAAAATCTTAATATTTTGTAGTAAAGGTTTTCAGCGTTTTCATGATTACTCTGACATTGTTAATGGTCTACATGACAGTGATCTGTTAAAGTGTTAAATATTGATAACTTGTAAGCTTTGTTATAAACACATATTAATGTTGTAAACAGCAACTAAGTTAAAAATAAGTTAATTAGAAGAAAAGACATAAACGGGACTTTAGTGTTAATCTGCACCCGTAAAATTTGTTATGAACACAAATAAATCTACTTTGCTTAAATTTATAAAGCATCATTTGAACATAAACTTTGTTAAACTTAAAGTCTGTAGTAGATTTGGCAATACTTGTTGTGGTGCCTTACCATATGTCAAATCAATAAGTTTTGTAAACGTTAATACCTAATTAGAATTAAAATACACACGTTAAACATTCAACCCTAAATCAACCTTTTACCCCTAATTATTTCTACCGATTGTTAAAATGAAAGAGCTAGTTTTAAATATGTAGGAAGTCAAAAAAATACTCAAACTCTTTTGTAATAATGTGTTTTTGCAATAAAGTGAAAACGTTAATAAAATAAAATTATGAAGTTCTATTACGGTTAGAACAATTAATAATCATACAATTATTTATTGTTCATACGTGAACTAAAAACAAAATCAGATTCCAACTTTATTGACGAAATAAGAAAGCCTCTTAAATGCGTCTGCATCGAAATTACAAAAAAAGCATACGGCCGCGAAGCACTTGAGCTATGTAAAGCGTTCAATACACAGGGCCGGATTCGCGATCGATTAATGGGAGGGCCGTGATCGTTGTATTGGTTGGAGGGCGTGGTGGTCGTTATCAGGGAAGATGTGTCAGCCAATGGCGGCAAGCTGGTGATAAGGGTTGGGGTGGCGGTCTGCGGGCGGCGGGCGGCAGTGCGGCTGACGGCGCGGTGCGGGGCGGTCGCAATGCTCGCCATGATGTACCCAGGAGACGAAGAGCTCGACATGCGTGTACCGCCGATACAACTGGAACATTTGCCAGAAGTGTTCCTTTGTACGTAAACCATAATTTTCGTGTCTGTGATTTTGTGCGTTTGTTCTCTAACGTCTAATTCAATTGTTTTGGTTTTGCTTTAATACTCGTAATATGTGTGTCAATGAATAATTACTCAAAATAATTAAAAGGCAGTTACATTAACATACAATAATATAAAAATATTGAAAGTGTAGTATAGTGCTGAAAGGATGAATGAAGAGTGACAAGGGAAATTGAAATGCAAATATGAGTGGCAGTGTAACACAGAATTTACTAGACTAATGTCATACGAATAAGTTTAAACGAGCACCTTATTTATAACTGACTACCAGTTTAGACCAGTCTAATGTGTAAAGGATGTAAACAACCTGACTTGTGTCAAATATTAATTTTTGCCTACCTTAAATTCGTCTTCGATAATCTATTGGAATTTCGACTCGATGTGCGACTGTTTTTCATAGCAACATGAACATTTGTAACTTCCAATAATGCAGAAGTGATAGTTAATAGATTTTTAATCTTCCACGAAACTGTTTACGTGTATTTCATCTGTAATAGAAAAAAAATTCCTACCCAGTGTTGTATTAAATTTAAAGTATTGTGCAGCTTATAGCCCGAACTAACTTAAATAAAGATTATCGTATAAGATTCATGATGAAAATGTCTGCTTTACTCAGTCTATTGAACATTGTATCTCCCTAGATAATAATATATCTTTAAAGTTCGGTGCTGATGTAAACGATAAGAAGACCTAGCTCTATGTTTCGGTTAGTTGTTGACGTAGCGTGTATTGTGCAGCCAGTATCCCGAAGTGCGGCGGCTGCCACGAGATGATCGTGGACCGGTACGTGCTGAAGGTGTCAGAGCGCACATGGCACGCAGGCTGCCTGCGCTGCGCCGAGTGCCGCGCTATGCTCTCCGGCAAGTGCTTCGCCAGGAACAACCAGCTTTACTGCACCGATGATTTCTTCAAGTAAGTCTCTTTACTAGCATACGTTTAGAGTAATACGATCACTCTTATTACAATTGCGATGCCATTTTTTAACAAAGTGTCTACCTATATATTTCATTAATAATTTCAACATATCAGGACCACCGAATCAAATATTATCCAATTGTAATCACAACGATTTTTAAGCCACACTTCGTCTATATTTATCGGATCATTGACAGTGACCATAAAGTGTGGTGCAAAGACAATATCACGTTGATAATGTTGTTGTGGTTGCGGCCGCTGTCCCAGGCGCTTCGGCACGAAGTGCGCGGGCTGCGGGCAGGGCATCCCGCCCACGCAGGTGGTGCGGCGCGCTCAGGCACACGTCTACCACCTGAGGTGCTTCGCCTGCGCCGCCTGTGCTCGCACTCTTAACACTGGAGATGAGTTCTACCTCATGGAAGATGGCAAGCTTGTTTGTAAGCCTGATTATGAAGCGGCCAGGGCTAAAGGTGTGTGTCGCACATTTAAGTACTTTATAGCTTTTGTAGAGTTAAAACACACCTTTTTTTTGTTTTTAATTTACATTATGTGGAACACAATTAATATCCGCCAAATATGTATGTATAAATTTTAACGATGAATATAGTAAAAAGCAGTTTATCCTAAAATCAGTAACATTTACATATGTAGAATAAAGAAAAGAGGTGGACAGTGAAGGACACTTAAGTAAAAATTTTTGGCATTTGGTTATGTGTAGAGACATAGCATGGAATTCAGATAAGACTTTACTTATTTCAAATCTAGTTAATCATGACCCTTACAACACTATTATATACCAAAGGAGGTGAGGGTTCGCTGGACGGCGACGCGGCGAGTAAGCGGCCGCGTACTACCATAACAGCCAAGCAACTGGAGACGCTGAAAAGCGCGTACAGCAGCAGCCCGAAGCCAGCGCGACACGTGCGAGAGCAGCTCGCGCAGGACACCGGCCTCGATATGCGTGTCGTGCAAGTCTGGTTCCAAAATAGGTAGGATACTGAAGATAAAAAAGCTATGCGGTACCGATGCCAATATTTCTTGCAGCTATAGCCCTTAACTGATTAGATAAAATACCTTGTTAAAAGAAAATTATCTGTTGTTATTAGTATCTTGTGCATCTTCCTAGATAAAAATCTAACTTATAAGTTGCGGTGATGATGTCAACGATATAAAGATATAGTTCTAAGTTCTTTCGTTTGCTAGTTTACATTGTGCATGCGTGTAAAATGTGTTTCTGTTAGATTACATTTGGATTCATTTGTCTATTATTTATTTTATTCTATTTATTTTTTTTCCACTCAACACAAGTGCTGATCTTCCGTGGATACGTAGTATAGATTAGATGACAATCAAAGTCAAAAATATTTTAAATAATATCATACGTTTTATATTTAATGCAATCAATAGAAACTACATTGTTTCTTATCGCGTATTGGCCGTATTTTAACACTATCGCACAGTTTAAAAAGTACTAAGTGACTTTTCAGTCGTCTAAATGTTTTAAGAGAATCTGATACGCTTCGCGCCGTTGCGTATGGCCATTTAAAATGAATAAACCGAGATATTCGTATCGTAATCAATTTTGCACGCGCGTTTCCACCGGGCATGTGTATTGGGGCAGTTGATTTTGAAATGGTCGCTGATTTAACAAGACGTAAACACAGATTAACAGTTTACGACCGCCTCAAGCTAAACGTTCAAATGGCAACACAAATTAATTGGAATATCACAATAAAACTACATAAGGCTTAATACAAGCTTACATAATGGTTGCCAACCTCCGATAAGAGATGGCACTTGTAGAAGAAGAAGGCTAAGAGCCTGTCCCACCAAATTGTAAATTGTCTAATAATACAACGTGTAAAATATGTGATAGAAATATCGGATTTTGCTAACTTATCTGACAGTGACGTCATTTTAAAGTGTTTGAGCCTCTATTAGCCAGTAGTGGGACAGCCCCTTAATCTTGAATACCATTTAGCGACTTATCATACTTAGCTTTAGCTTCGTAATAACTTTATTCAAAATTCAATTTAAAAAAAGCCACGCAGATTATTATGATATAACAAATATACAGCGGCTAACTTCTATAAAAGGTATAATAGGTCTAGACTAGTAAAAGAAAACTATTATAGTTAAATGAAAAACATGTTCAGGTATTTGAAATGGGGGTATAATAGAATCGATCAATAACAATTAGCGGTCAGAATAGGATATATTGGGTATTGTGTTGAGACCTTGCTATTCGATATCGACGACCTTCATACATGAAAATCAGACATTATTAAGTATTGTTGAAAAAGCATTGAAACATCACTAATACATAGTCCTCTCGCAGGCTTTGAATATAGAGAAACGGACTAGGTAAAAAGTCACCGTTGTACTAAAATGCAGTAATTTTTCGTGGGCGGACAAGGTTATGATGACAATCACACCTAGTGCATATCCTGCTGTCGCGGCTTTATGAACGCATGCTGATTCAAAAATTTAAACAGTTACACATTACAACCACACAAGCGGGGAATATGTCTGCCAGATCCTGTCATTAAAAGTCAAAGGTTGGAATATCGATATTTGCCGTACGGCACAGACGCGTAACGATGTTTTGTCGCGCGCGATCGGGTGCGGTCACGGTGCGCGTCACGCTCTGCTCTTTGGCCTCGCCTCGTAAACCTAGCTGCGTTATCACAACGCTCGACTTCTTATGTACTTTATGTACACACGTCACTTGTACTGGTGGATTTTATTGTTGTGAGTACATCAAGCTACAAGCAACAATTCGTTGCATAGGAAACGTACGCAATAACTATACAATGGTTGTCCAATAATCCAGGGTAGACATATCGCGGCACGCGCGGTGTCCCCGCGGACAGGGCGGAGGCACTTTAATTAATCAAGCCCTTTGTTCCTGCCCCCGCCCTCGCCCGCCACACTCCCTTCGTCCCCGCGCCCTGTCGACATTCTAATAATCTACCACGCAAAATATTCCCGTACGGCTTGTTTTGTTTGTTTAACATTTTATTCACTTTAATCGTAAACTACCAGACCGTAAGAATTGAAAATACAGTTATCCCTATAACTCAATACATTGGATTAGGTATTATGTCGTACATTTTGAATTACCATTTTTGATCTTTCTAACACAATTTGACGATACTTAGACGAGCGAAAGAAAAGCGTTTGAAGAAAGACGCTGGACGAACGCGGTGGTCGCAATACTTCAGATCTATGAAGAGCTCAGGCAGTGGCTCACCGCGACACGACCGCCTGCTTGACAAAGACGAACTTAAGATCGACCTGGATTCCTTCAGCCATCACGGTACGTAGTAATCATATCTAAATTTTAGTTTTCCACACAAGTAAATACGAGCATGTCTATCTAACCCGTTTTGCAACCTTTTGCAAAAAAACCAAACCAACCCCCTTTTGCAAAAAAAAATATATTGATGTTTAGCTACGACAAAGACTATTTTTATTTTAAAACATTAGGTCGGTTAAGCAAAAACCTTTTTTTTTTCAATATTACAACCTAAGGTAATCCTCTTATAGTAAGCGACCACTTCACGACAAATTGCCGCAACGTGTTTAATACCTTTCGACTAAGTTAAGTTACTTAAGTTGTGCGAAATATTTATTGCTATAGAATTGCGAGTAGGATAATTAATGAAAACTTCAATGGCCTTTATGGGTGAATCTTTGTAGAGCCAAATATCACTATTTCTGTGTTAGGACCAACAAAATGTTCTAAATTCAATATGTTGCGTAAGATAAGAGCCTACCTAATTGTCACTAAGATGGTTTGGTCACCACCATCAGTGCATACTTTGTAGTTTTGATACTTTGAATTACTACTTTGTAACAATGCAATATGTTTGCAGATCTAAGCAACGACAGCTACAGCACGGTGGCGCTGGGCGGCGAGGAGGGTTCGCCGGCGGGCGGCGGCGCTGCAGGCACAGTAGCACGCTTCGGCGGCGGCGCCACGCCGCCCTACCTGCGCGCCCACTCCCCTCCGCATGCGCACTACCACTATCCACCGGACCATCTTGTCTACACAAATATAGGTACGCACAATTCTTATACTCTTTTTTGGCCTTGGTACAGCTTTAGTCAGATAGAAGAAGAATGACTTGATTGTTATTCTAAATTGAATTGATCTCTATATTGCAGGTCAAGCGATGAGCGGTGCTGGTATTGGAGGCGCTGGAGGAGCGTCTGACATGAGCAGCTCGTCGTCTCCGGCGGCTGGAGGGTACCCGGATTTCCCTCCGTCACCGGATTCGTGGCTAGGAGAGCCTCACCACTATTCTCCGCGTGGCTTCCCCTAGCGGCGGCCACCGCCGGCGCACGCGCTGCCCGCGCACCCGCCGCCTCCCGCTCTCCCCGCACAACCCCTCGAGCTGGTTGTAAAACGTGAACTCTAATGATACACTACAATAGTGTTACGATGAAAGATATGTTGAAATCGGGTCTCGAGAAATCAAAGGGCAGACTGTAATAGTGAGTGAAGTTTATTACATATAATAAGGTAAAACTTTCTGGCATGAAAGTAAACAAACAAAACTATTAGCTACTTCTTATTAGGATCATCATCAAATCTATAAGATCTAAAATTAAAGTTACAAAAGTATTAAAATGGAATTATTGAAACGCAGCAAGTTATTTCAAATTTAAAGGACGATTTACCTAGTCCACTGAACTAAAAGCACAACCTTTGGATGCAATTCCTCCATAGTGACCACAATTTAAATCAAATATTCCCTAAAATAAAACAAAATCTCAACTGGTATGTTTCCAAAATGTCAAATAATTGTATCAAATGTTAAAAAACATGACAAGACTTAGAATATCTACTGAATGGTCAATTTTTGTCGAATTATAAGTAAGTTAGAGTAATTTACTATAACCTGTCTGTTTTTCTTTTGATAATATTAAGTCGAGGTATATAAAAGCCAGCAATGTTCATTACAACTCTGTTTACAATAGAATGGCGAATGTGCATAAATAATTTTTCATAACTTGAAGTTTTACATTTTACTCTAACTTGTTCTTTCGTAAAGATCAATATTTCATACCAACAATGGTTCTTCAGTCTTAAAATCCAATTAGAAGATATTGTAAATTAAACAGTGATACAAGAAAAGAATATGTAAGTTACAACTTTTGTAGAATATTATAAGTAGCTTGTAAATGACACTGTAAAAAGATAAAGCACAAATAATGTGTATACCTTTATTAATTTGGTATGTAAATAAATTAATTTGTAAACTATGTATTATACTTATAATGAGTTACTATGTATGTAGTCTTATTTATTTATTTATCAAGAAGATCCACCGAGTTATACAAAATATTTTAATAACAACGCTAGTGAATAGAGGTCTTTTTGGTAATATCTATGTACTTACAACTGTTTGTTGTTAAATAATTAAGACATCTTTGAAATGATATTTTATTTATACTACTGTTTAATTAAGAGATACTATTTAATATAGATACTATCACAATGTTGTAAATAAAACATATATTATACTTAGATATTAAGCTTATTCATAAGTTCACAAAAATATAACACTTTGTGCAAAAAAATCTAGTCGAGAGATAAATGGTATATAAATATTATTATGGTAATTTATGACAATTTTATTTACAATCTGATACATTTTCTTTATTTACAGTTCCGTAGTTGCCACACCCCAATATTGCTGCATACGACCTTCTAAGTCTAAAGATTCTTGTGATTGTGCTCCTTTTTCCTGTATCACAGCAAAATCGTATTCCAAGTGGTAAGGCATCAGCCTTTGTAGGGAACCGAAATATGCAGCATTCGGTCCTCCATTTGGTACTCGACCGGAACCGAATCTGAATTCAGGTTTAAGTGCCGTGCCAAATGAACGAGCGCTACCAAAATGTTTCGAAAGGAACGGAACACCTTTCGACTGTTTACCAGTGAGATGTAACTGCGGACTACTACCTGACAATCCTTTTATGTTTTTAAGAGTGCCAACGTTTGATTTTATCCCCTTAGACAAATTATCCAATTCCTTGTCGAATATCATTTGAGTATTTTGTTCCAGCATGTACTCCCAACATTTGAATTGTTCTTCGGACGATGGAGATTCTTCCTTTCTTTGTTCGTCCTCTTTTTCTTCTTCCACTCGAACTCTTATTGCTCGAGCGACCCCGCCCCTGCTTTTGCGATCAGAAGCCCTATTCTGTGATCGTACACTTGCGTAATGCTGAGTACTGACAATTTCCATTGGCGGAAGATCACTTTGACCGCTCGGCGAAGACCGATCGCTACTAGGTTTAGGTGGAGTTATTGAATGACAACAAGGCTCCAATCTGGAACAACAACAGTCAGGCCTACATACAGTTTTATTCGTTGTAATTGTTTGTCTCAATTCTCTCATTAATAGATCTACATCAGATCTACCGTTTGTATCAAAGCGTACTATTAAAATTGATATGCAGTCTTCTACTCCATAACTTTGGGCTAAATCTTGTAACCGCTTTGCTGCTAGAACAGGGTTCCTCTCCGCGCGTACTTCTGACACCGCCGCTTCAACACTAACGGCATTCCAGAATGTTCCATTTCCTAAAATTAAAAATTCGTCATCATCTTTAATGATTGTTTGGATGACGTCTGGATCAGGTACTGTATTTGGATAGCGAGAAGAGTAACCTAAACGCTTATTGTTTTCTATACCTAAACTCAAAGGGCCATTTCGTCTGCTCAACACAGCACGAGTATCGCCGACATTTGCAAGCCTCATATTATATCTTTTCAATGTTGTTCCAAATCCGTTTTCAGGTTGGGTAATTGGTGACAGGTGACACATAATCAGACAAGCTCCTTTTTTCTGTCCTTTCTCTTTTAATTCTCTATGAGCTGATAACACGACGTATTTCATATATTCATTAACAGTTTCTTTGATTGATTTTTCTTCTAGAAGGAGGCCTGGTAAGCTAGACTGGAGAATTCTTGGAACTTCAGTATCACTTTCCCCATCAATTATCGCAAAGAGACCTTCCTTATTGCAAAACGATGGAAGACGAATTTGAGCACATGATAATTGTAATGATTTATTTGGACATTCAGAGAATCCTGTACTCCATGGCGTAAGTCCATTTAGTTCTTCATGATACCCACTTTTCTGGGTCCATGGCAACGATTTCCTTCCAGTAACATCAACTAAGCTTAAAGGTCGTTGACATCTATAAGATGTAAATTGTGAAGGATCCACTTGCAGCTTTCTGTTGCAGGATATATCTAGGAATTTTAATTGCTTTGGAGCCAGTAACCTCAAATCCACAGTGTCAAGTTCATTGTGAGCAAAATCTAATATCTTAACGGATGCACTGCATGCAAACATAGGTACTGATCGTAATCTGTTTGAGTGTGCGCGTACTACTCGTATGTTATTTAACTGTGGTAAATTATCCGGAAGTTTTGTTAGACAGTTGCCGGAAACCACCAGTTCCTCGATCTCAAGCCAAAAGTTGAATGAATTATCAGGTAAACTAGTTAAGCAGTTGTACGCCAGATGGAGTAGTTTTAACCTTCGAAATGCAATTATTACGTCCACAACATCATCTGTGAGACAATTTGCTGTTAGATAGAGACGCTCTAAGCAATGCGATGACGGTCCTCTTGCTCGGGGTAATCGACTGAGTCTGTTATTAGATAAATTTAGAATACTTAATCTGTCACACACTGAAAAGAAGTTCTCGGGCAAGGTTTGTATGCAGTTGTCGTGTAGTAGTAGTTTTTTTAATGGTGACCTTAAGCGAGGCATAGAGGGTATGTTTGATATTTTGTTATGGGCGAGATGTAAGTTACTGAGGCTGGAGAGTTCACTACAGAACAAATGTTCCGGTAGCGAGGTGAGGTAGTTGTTACTGGCATGTAGGGTCGTAAGGTCAGAACACCCGCTGAGCCACTGCGGCAGTGACGTTAATCGGTTATGTGATACATTTATTTCTATTAAGTTGATCGGCGGTACGCTGGTTGTTAACGTCTCCATTTCTGAAAGGAAATATAACACTTCGTGTTTAAATAATATTGGATATACCTATTAAGTAACACATGGAAAAATACTCACGGTTATGCGGGGCTCGTAGTATTCTTAACGCACCGCCGTGCAATGCCAAATGTTGCAGAGCATTGTGCGATGCATACAATTCTCTTAAACCGCGTAAAGCAGATAGAACCAGCACTTCGACAGTATTGTGAGATATATCCAATGTCACTAAATGCTGAAAAAAAGTGCAATTTCATTCAAAATATTTCGATCCAATTAACATAGGATTAGCAAGTATCTCTCAAATGAAAATCCTTGCTTCTTGCCTGGGCAACGATGTGAATTATTTTGTACGTAAGTACTGAATTCAAAATTATTTATAGTTTCTTTTTTGGATTAGTTTATTCCAACGTCATCAGGCATCAATCAAAATCTATTTATTCCAAATCAAAAATACCAAAGATTTTTGTTTAATAAAAGATAACTTACTTCATAGTTCCCAAGCACTATGCTCCCTTTCAATCGGTTGTGCCTGAGATCGACTGTAGTGAGGGGCGCGCGTTGCTGTGACCGAATGTCATCCTCGGTTCCCATTTGCCGCGAGTTATTGTTCTGAAATATTGTAAACAATAAAATTTGAAATCTACATCTAACATAAGTTAATTTACATTTCTATTTATATAACAATTGTTTCGTTAAAATATATTTAGCTAAAATTGATGTATATTCATGACAAAATACGATCATTATTCATTTCATTTAAAATGTTTAAGATAAATGTGATTCACCTCAAAGCTCGTGATCATATTGCGGACGGCGACGAGAGTACGAAGTCGTGGTAACTTTAGCACGCAATCCAACGATTTTAGCTCGTTGTCGCTCACATGCAACTCCTCTAATCTAATAAAGAAAATATTCATGATGTTAGACAATTTAGACTTTCTGACCGTTAAACGAAGATATTTTTTTTCAAATTTCACATGTTTGACATTATTTCATAAAAGGCTTTTCAACTTTTTGCAACAAATATTATATAGAAACAGTTATTTCTAAAGGTGAGGTAAGAGCAAAAATGTTCTTAGGTAAAAATGTTAATAAGAATTTTATTCTTCAAAAAGATTTGACTGAATTCTGAATATGATGATTTAGTGTTGTTCTGGAATGTACTGGATTTATCGATATTGCATAAGTTTAAGAGTACTGTTTCGTTATTTGTAAGTTTAGTGGCGGTGAATGGCAAATGGTAATGTTTGCCCTCCAAAATTACAAACCGTGAAAAGTTATTAAAGTTTTAATTAAAACAAAAAGAACAAAAACTTCACATTCTACCTATCCTATTAGACAAAATACGTTTAAATAAAGAGAGAATAAGCATACAGAGAAAAATACGTAATTATAAGTTCCAATATTTTTGTCAATCCCTTAAACATGTTCTTGTAAATAAAATAACCAATTTCTTTTATAGTATTGTAAGTAACATTACATTTTTAACAACAAAAACATTTGAAAGCTGAAGAGTAATATAAACTCAAAATTCACCGTAACTTATTTTATATCACTCACATATCTCCACATCAAGATACGGTTTTTTCCCAACATAAAGAAAAAACATTTTAATAACCATACCACAAAAAATAACTCACTGTATATATAAAGTCCATTATTCACCAAGAATCAGACATTAACATCATTAATTACCAACATATTAAGTACACATTATATTGGCAACACTGTAGGATCGTTGCAAGACTGACCGCAGGCGAGCGTCCGCGCCGCACCGCTGCCCACACGTCTTTGGCAACGAGGCGCAATGCCATAACAATTGAAGTCACTATCGCGTATTTCGTGTGCATTTTTATCTACGGAGATATTTAAACGATAATATATTGCATTAGTGCATATACAAGTTGTACCTCGTTACACGTGGAGATAATCGATGGTTGTTCGCGAAGAAGCACTCAAAATTATCGACAGGCAACATCAACATTTCTATTTTACACAGTTCCAATTTCATCGCTTATTATTGATTAAAAACAGTATTACATCTTCATAAGAATGCATGAATATACTGATCTTCGTGTAGAAGAAAAAAAATATCTCATTACTAAGTACATTCATTGTAACAATTGAATCTATGATTTCTGCTTACATCTCCAGCGTTACTTTCTTTCATCATACTAATATTATAAATGCGAAAGTTAGATGAATGGATGGATGGATGGATTTTTATTAGAGTTTGTAGTCTAAATTGCTGAAGGGATTTCTATGAAATTCGGTATAGATGTAGAGGATATTCTGGAATAACACATAGGGTGCTTTTTTAATTCCTCGCAGACGGAGTCCCGGGCGAATACTAGTATTTCATACAAAATATAGGTAAGAACATGATTTTAAACAACTTTAATTGCTACGTCAAATGTGCTATCATAAACAAGTATGTAATAATGTATTGTAGGTAAAAAACGTTTCAAGATTTCGACTTAAGATATTTCATTGCTAATTAGTCATTTACCATTATTCACAGAACGCACGCACGGAAATGGCGGATTCCAAGCAATAATGGGTTTTAAGCACCATTCACAAGTCATGGACAATGAATGATATAATCATGCAGAAATACAAGTCTATTATTTTTCAATGCACCTAATTATCTTTTTTATATTCAAAGGCGAAAAAAGTGCAATTGTCTAGCCAGATTTTTTGACTTTGAAAAGGTAATACGCGTATGATGCCTCGAAGAGAATTACCAGAAGAAACTTAATTCAAAATACTTCTACTTTGTGAATGAAAACTACCTAATTTCTGTTGACCTCTTATTAACAGGGGTAATTTATTGTTAGGCTGTTTTATTCACTTTTGCAAGACGTTCCAGAAACTTACAGTAATAAAGTTTGCCTCAAAATATAACTCACTCACTTTCAAAATAGGTGGGAAATATTAAGACAAGAATGCAGGAATGATATTTCTGTGAACATAGAGGATCTAAAATATTACAATTCTTAAGTATATTGTATGTTACTCAACAGGGGTTGCGCGAATGGTACTGCAAAGTGAACGTAAATTTACACGCTTCGACGCACAGATGAAGATAGTGTGGTACTTGTAACACGTACGCCTGCACTGGGTTAAAAAAAATTAGCACACAACGGAAACTTAGCACCGCTTATCAATTCACTGTGACGCTCGCGTTTCTAGGTTAAGATTGATGCAAGGTGACAGATGCCACTTAACACCGCGAGACAACATCTCCTTGCATACTAAATTCAATCTAGAACTAGATATTCAGTCTTAGATTACCAAGTATTTAATAATACATGTATTTTGGTTTCACAAGTACGATATGGATTAAGTAAGATATGAATTATTATTTAAGTATCCGATCACGGCCACCATTTTTTTATATCATAAGACAAACAAGCAAGCACCCCTAGAATTTGCCAAAATAGTAAAGAACATTCTGCCCATAAACATCCGTGATTGCTGATGCTTTGCGTACCTACTTTTAATAGATAGTTTTATAGAAGTGTATGTTAAAATTCGTTTGCTGTTTATTTTGATTTGAGCAACAGAATTAAAAAAAAAACTAAAAAAGGAAATATTAATTGATCTTAACTCTAACGTAAGAAAACGATGTCTGACGCTTCGCAGAAAGGCACGGAGCGCTTCGCTTCGTCAGCGGAGCGTTAACAAATGGAATCTGTAATGGCCACGTACGGAGATATTATACAGATGTGCTCAAACATGCCAAATGTTTCCATACAATAAACTTACATTTTGTTATACTACTGATCAATGTTCCCAATTCTCCTTACCACGGACATAGGTAATCTTTATCAGATCATCTATTTCTATGGGGCTCCGAAATGTTTTAAAACCAATTATTCAGATTCATGAGAAAAATAATTTAGCAGGTCTGCTATTCATCTGAATGTGATTGCTTCTGTTAGGTGAAAAAGGCAGCTGTTTAAAAAACAGACGTAATTAGTAGGTGTACAAACCAGACCTAGAGGAAGATCGCCTATGAGATGGACTGACCAGATTAGAACAGCTATGGACGTTCCCTTGCATCAATGTGCGAAAAAAGCAGCGTACAGGGAGGAGTGGCGGCGTCTTGTAAAGCGGGTCACTGATACGTGATAACCACGACGAGTCTGTAAAGACTCAAGCGACAAAGAAGAAAGAAGAACAATCCTTAACTCGAGCAAATTACGACCATATTCCGAATCAATAAATTGTTACGTTAACCGTCGCTTAATGTATTTGTTATACAAAAACTTTAGTGCAACTAATTAAACTTAATTTTTTTTCCCTTGTCATCACTTTTTGTTCACCGAGTGGCAGTGTGAGTTAAACTATCTATAACTGTTAAATACTTCTAGGAAAATATAAAGTACCTACTGTGTGAGACGACATATTTCGGGTGGTAAATCAGAGATCCTATTATCGCTGATGTCCAGATGGGTTAGAGCTGTGAGACTGCAAGTCTGCTGAGGCAACACTGGCAGGGCGCTGCCTCGCATCTTTAGCACGTGGATCGTAAATTCGCCGCCCGCATGTCGGGATAGCGTCGCTTCTAGTGATGTCCGACCACCACCGCTCAGGTCCAGAATGCTCGGTGGTTGAGTGCTCTGAGTTCCCTGGAACAACATCGATAATATAATGACAAACAAATGATAAGCTTACTGACATAATAGTTGTAACAAGTTACAACGTGGATTAAAATGATCAATTGCTGATAATAGATATATCACTGCATACTATCGCATGTACACACTATTAACATATTGGTCTGTAATATCAAATAGGATTCTAGCCAAACTATGTCATTTAAAACATGCCAACGCAAGTATATGCTTATGCTTGTAATAGCATGTTGATCAAAGAAAAAAAAACACTTTAAAAGATTTTCACAGGGATTCATAGAAACGAAATATTATGTTATGAGCATGAAAAGTCACAGTGACTTTTTGACATTTTATTCTTGAAATACCTTTACCAATAGACGATTTTAACGTACCGCATTTTCAAGTTTTTCTTTTAAAGTAGATGGTTCTAAACTGTCTGGAAATATGTCTTCATTGTATTGCTGATTAAATACGTCCAAACTATCTATTTCACTTTCTTCCGACTTCATCACGTTTCTTTCAACCATCATAGTTTCTTTGTATTTTATTTAGAAACAAAGCATTTGTTTACTGTCACCGTGCAATAGATTCCTTTGTAGTTTGCATTTAATGTTTAGACAATGTTCGTTTTAGAAACAAAAGACAAATGGTGTTTTAGCATCGAGCGAGTCAGCTTTGCTTCTAAGCGTAACCGCATAGGGCCATCGAACTCCCCACAGCATTGTTATTCCCAAAGACTACGAAATAACTCCTGTCTGCGAATTCATTATTCCGTACACGAACATGTCGCTTTATAAATGACATCTAGGTGGCCTTGCTATAAAGCGTTGTTAACATTTATACGTACAAATTTACTTATAACGTTGGGAATTTCTCTAACAGCACTTGATTTTCACTATATTTTGTACTGTGGTGTTTTACTGATTTATTAAACGAGCACAAAAACGCGACAGTGATATGTTAACGGCGTTGTTTCGACTGACTGTAGCCGGAACGATCTCTGCGCACGCGCACTCAGGGCATCTCAACCGTAACAAATCTTCTAGGGCGATGCGCATACTTTTATTGATTTTTTAACTATTTCTACTATTCTATTCTATCTATTTCTACATTAATATTATAAAGAGGAAAGATTTGCATTTTTGTATCTTGAATTCAGACATAAAAAGACTTGTCCGATTTTAAAAATTCTTTCACTAATAAAAAGGTAATTTATTTCGATTAACATAAGCTATCTATATTATTTTTAAATATCACGCGGGCGAAATCGCGAGCGTCAGCTAGTCTCAAATATTCCTTAACACTTGCATATACATACGATACAAATAATATGTTTATCCAGCATCATCACCTTATTTATTTCCATCGCTTTACTTCATTTATTTTATATAAATTTACACTTATAAAAGTGTAAAATGAAATTATTTAACGACGCTATTTGGTTTTATTTAAAAGAAGAAAATGTAAAATCAGTACCACAACTTTTTTAAATTGATATCTATTAGAGTTTTTATTTGTAAAATTTAAGATATAGTAGCTCTTACGTCATGCTTTCATCACGGATTGCTATAATTAACGGTTTTTTTTACTATTACTAACTACAAGATTTATTTTTTGGTACGTTATTGCATAAAATTGTATCATGGTACAGCCCTACTGCTGTTAAAAGTTTTGCATTGGCATGTCTAAAATTTGATTAAGCAAAGAAATTTCTAACAATTTTCTTCTGTTATGTTACGGTTCGTTAGTTGTGGAACTGTACCGGAATCGAATTCCCGATCATCTGCTTACAGTCCACTTGATGGCGCAACGTGACGGAACGACAGACATTAGTATTTATTCAAACAGCTTTCAAATGCAACTATAGAAACTAATTGATGTTCACAGATATTTAATAAGCACCATGATAATAAAAAATAATGTAAACCATACCTCTTTCAGCCATGAAAACCACATGTTTCTCTCCCAAACTGTGCTAAAACCAAGGAAAAGGTGATTGACTCCGGTATCAATTAAACTGTTGCTATGACAACTAGGCTTCACGCATAACACCAACTTCTGAGCCTTTGGCTGACATAGCTCTATTGTCCCACCGCTTAGTTCTAGAACATCCCACTGTACACCTATAAAAATACATTTAATCAAGTCTATTTCTAAATCACCAAATAACATACCTTTGTGCACAGAAAATGTTAGCTCACCTAAGGTGTGCAATCTGGATCCATGAATATAAGCTTGTCGAGGTTTCCACTGTGGGAAGACATGGCCTTTCAGGACGTGAATAGTACCCGATTGTAGTACCCCGCCCATTGAACCAGCAGGTCCAGCACTCCAGCGCAGACTGTACCGCAACTCTGGATCCACGGCCAATCGTAGTCTTCGGGCTTCAGAAGACCAACCATTTTTTATAAGAATTTCATCTTGAATTTGCAAAGGACGTTCATCGAGTTCCAAGCGTCGCAAATTTTCTCCTATTTGCAACCACAGCGTCAATTCGTCACTGAATCCGAGCTTCTTATTTACGTCTTCGACCGTGGCTTTGGTCGATATCTTGATCAGCTTGCTCGCAGCTTCGACAGCGAAAGGCTCGAGGCCATCGAAAACGCGTATCCAGCCGTGTTCAGTAACAGACCTTGGTTTGAAGCCTCGTGTAGAGGCGAGACGTCTGAGCGACTTGCGTCGGACGTGGGGCGATGGGGCGTGCAAGCCATCGTCGCAGACCATGACGCGGCGGACGGCGGCAGCCGGCAGGTGGACGCGAGGTGCGGTGGCCGACGTCGAAATGCCCGCGCGCCGGACTCCGTATCGCCGTTGAATTACAATTGGGTCGGACTCGGAGTGGGGGTGGGAAACATGTTGCTCGGTCACTCGGGAATACGGTAGAATGCAAATATCGGGAGTAGTATTAGAATAACAAATAACTTTATTTACCCTATATGACTTGTTTAATTTTATGTACACAGATATCTTTTCTTAAGATTAATATGTTGAAATTTATGTAAAATATGAGGTCAAAATTTATTAAACTATGTAGGTTAAAAGTAAGTGATATAATAGTAGATACGCATCAGTGATCACCCCACCTGCTGAGTCACCTGCTGTTACGAGAGCCCCTTCCTTAACTCATAATGTTTTGCTCTTGTGAGTATCCCAGAAAAATACACATGTAGACAAACTTATGACGTTACGTTAGAATTTTTGACTTTATAGATTTGTACAGCTAAATCGTACTACAGTAACGTTAGGCCCAGCTATTAGAAATGAAACACAATAAAATGTTTCACTAATTTATTAATTATAAAGAAATATTTTACATTATAACAATATAACTAATTATACATTAATGTCGTAACTAAAATTATATTACCAAGGATAATTTTTATGTATACGTTTATTACCGCAAATACACGTAGCATTGCACGTCCCATGTTGACATACGTCCGATATATGGACCAGGGAATTGCAATTCGAATAATAATCCCTTCTTGGACAGTAATTTGTGCAAAGTGAATCTTGTAGACAATTTTTAGGACAATCACCACACGTCGGACCCGATTTGTAGGGGAAATGTGTTATCGTGTCATAATTACCACTGAAATAAAAACATTTTATTTTAATATTTCCGTCCTTATCATAAGAGTTTAATGTTCTTAGAAATGCTGGTTACTTAGACTTGGTAAATAGCCTTTGAATCGAATGAAGCTATTTAGTATTCGCGTAACGTATTTCGAAATACGTTGTGATGGATACGTGACGATATAAGATTTGTTTAAGTTCATTTACCGTAGGTTTCCACTGACAAAACGCACACGTACAAGATATTGTCTTGCCTTTCATTCTCATTGGAAAAAACAGGAATAACAATATTTTATAGCAGTCGTTTTGGCAGTGGAAATCAACACTAACATGCAATTTAACTATAGGATTTCTATTGATGTGCCAATGTTTAAAGGTACATCCTGCCACGTAGTAAAGGGTTAAAATTCCAACAATCGACGTATCGTGGACTAACTCGTAGCACAAGAATAGCGCCAAATTAGAATGGCAACAGAAATAGTAAACTACCATTCACCTACTTAGCTGTTATAATTAATATATAGCACTATAGACGTTGTCAAATTTTAAAACATGTTTAGAAAAACATCAGCGATATTTACCCGGGACAGTAATGACACACGTAGTTGTAGAATTTTCCCCAAGGTCCACCCGTGCAGTGCGCTAGTCCACAACCAATCTTGTGACTTGTTGCCCAAACCATTTGCGTATAATGGCCCACAGCTTTCAAATTCTTAACTGGTTCTCCGTACGTGAAGTTCTTGTATTCCAAAAACCATGTTTTAAGTGCAAAGAACCTGAAATAAAAGACGATATCGGGTGATTTTTCGCCGACAAGACGCGAAATAACCATTGCTAGTTGTAAAAATTGAAGAAAAATTTTCCTACCTTCCTAAATTACGGTCATGAGTATATTTTTTATATTTGATGATCTACAATTTCATATTTTATTATCATTATTCTATTCACAGAATGTGAGACCTATCATTAACTATTCAATACCTAATAATTACAATTGAAATTTTAACATTTTGTTTACAATTTTTAAGATGGATATTCATAAAAACTTGATACTTAAAATAGAAGATCACGATTTTATAATAGTGATAAAAAACAAAGCAAAGAATAATTGATGTCGTGAATGCCGAGACGAAGTAGACGAGGAAACAAGTGGATATTAACAAAAAGTATAGGTACCATTCGTATGTCGACATGTAATTTATCATTTCATTCATGGACGTGAGGAACGCAAGGCTTGTTCGCGCAATAGGCTCGTTACAACTACATATTAATTTTTATTACCATTTGTGCTGTGAATTGCGATTTATACTTGCTTTTGATTGATTTTGTTCCGTAAATTAATCTGAAAGACCCATCTTATTCTAACAATGAATGTATAACTGATAAAGCATGCACTTTTAGTACTGACATAATGCTCCAAACAACGAGGTGACCTGATTGGTAACAGAAGACATCTAACTAACAGTTCTTTAACTATATTTAAGCTTGTTCAAGGAATAGAAGAATAGTAAGGAATGTGACAAGAGAACATTATACCTTAGACACTTTACAAAGCACCAGACGTCTGCAAATGAGTAGCAGTAACTTCTTAATTCGAAGAAATCTAAACTATTACAATTATATTTGAGTAAGTACCTTCATAAGTATAAAGTAATAAAACTAACCATGGAGTTTTCTGAGCTGCGACAAACAGATTCTGTCCACAAAATCCCAAATAAGGTATTGTGTTTTCGAGTGGGTCGTTGTGCTGCAAAAATATGCATTTGTCCGCGTAACTTTGAGCTTGTTTTGCAGCGATTGGGTTCCATGACTGAAAAGTAGTAAAACAAATAAGCGAAAAGTGTGCAAAACTATATTTTCTGTGTCTATTCATTATTTTTAAAAACATTTTTTTAATTGTTCATGCACTCACCATTAGTAGCATATTTGAAGCAGTGGGTTGTACTTTACTTCTAAAGAAATTATGGTAAAGCACTATTTTTCGTCTAACAACAGCTCTTCGAGGATTTAAGGCTTCATCTGGGATCTTATTCGGTGGTATTAGTTCTGAAATAATTGTTCATCATTAAATTATTAAATACCTTCATAAATTTCTCTTGGTTTATTTTAATCGATTTCCCTTAATCACAACTTGGTATTAAAACATTTTCCTTGTATATTTTGAGTTTTCTTTAATACAATTAACAATTTTTTTTTAAAAAACATCAAGATGAATCGAGATGAGGTTGTTATAATGGATTTACGTCAGAACCATAAACCATAAAACTTACGTCTGTTGCTCCATTGTCTTACGCTTTCTAATAAAACAGCACTATTTAAAAATATTCCTATACCAAGCCAAACTATATTCCGCACCATCATTCTGGAAAAAAAAAACAAAAATCAAACTCAAGGAAATTTAATAAATTAGGGATGTACAAATTATAATTATATTCCTTTTCAACAAACTGTTGTTGTTTCATGTGATAAGTTGGCTTCAAAAAAAAAATAATGCCTAGGATACTCTATGTCGTATGAACTTAAAAAAGTTTAACATGTTAGTTAACATATACTTAATTCTTCAAAAAACTTAAATACACTGTCCTATGGCGAAAGCGAGATATTACGTCAGATCAGTCGTTAATAATATCTACCTAGTTATCTTATTAATAATGTAAATGCAAAATTTAGATGGATGGATGGATAAACGTTTGCTAGAATGTGTAGCCTAAATTGCTGAACAAATCTCGATGAAATTTGGCATAGATGTTGAAGTCTGGAAGTACACATAGGCTACTTATTTTTTTAAATCCACGCAGACGGAATCGCAGGCGAAAGCTCTATATTATTTGTAGTAAAGTGCCTTCCTATTATTATTTAAAAAATGCATTACATTAAATACAGAGTTTGTTTAGTCTAATATTCAATAGAGACTGACCTAGATTCCAGAAATCTGATAACACAGTCAACACGAATTAAATTCGTTTGCTTAATTAATCTTAGAGTCTGATATTTGTCAAACTGTTTCACTATAGAGTAAGACTATATTGTGTTAAAACTTTGTAATAACTGGGTCGCTTTATGGTAAAACCGAACACTATCGTTATTGAATATCTTAATCGTTACTATGTTCCTTCCTATGTTCTTTTAGAAAGTACAAAATCTCCAATTGATGTCTTTAAATCAAATCAATCTTATTAGATCCTTCCATGACTTATGATTTCGATGCGTGCAATAAAAGTCAATCGCAAGTGTCGTATCTCACGAATAATTAATAAATACCAGCTATAAAATCATACCAGTTTCCGAAACATAACCGTTATTCCTAAATAATATTTAAAATTACCACGTCTATTCCCACGCTATCCTTATTGTTTTATTTTGATTGAATCCGTGTGTATTTCAATATTAGTATATGATAATCTAAAACACCGTTAGAAGTTAACGCTTAAATGCACTTGATATTAAACATTATGTTGTTTACACTATTAACATCGATTAAAAACTGAAATTTCTCAGAAGTAACACATATTTACTATTCTTCGCGATGCACTTCAAGGCGGATATATGATGCATCAGGGTCCGAATAATGAATTGAGGTGAATTCTCATTTACATACAACTCATATGACAATAACCTTAAATTCGGACGTGTGAGCGATATGTGCAAATCATTTTGGACAATGAAAAACAAAAAGACCTTTTACTGTAACGTGGTTACAATTTAAACATCTTTTATCTACTGACGTGAAATTTTTCGCAGAACAACTGATATTTGGTAACCTGTTCCACATTCGGGAAGACAGAAGGCTAAATTAGTCTTACTTACGTATAGATTTTAATCAATTTTTTACTTAAATGCGTAATAATATTTCTATATAAAACATTATTCACGCCTGTAGGTATATAATAGCAAGGAGTGATTACAACTTGTCGGACAAATAACGCATTTGTCACGCATTCTAACACTAATCTAATCCATTAGTAACGTCTGACTCTGCAAGTCTACTAAACGCTTTTCAATAAACCTGTATCAAAAGTTTGTTATGCTTTTTAATGCATGTAATTTTCTAGATTCATTAAAGACTTATTTGAACCTTGTACAAAAAGCAATAAAACCGTAAAACAATGGATAAACGTAAGATGCAGCCAGCGTTAATTCTTGTTGCAAAGCCCTAAACATCAAAATTTATTTACGCATAATTTTTTTATAAGTGCATTTACCAAGTGAAAGATTACAATGCTTGTATGTGCTGAAAATAGTAAGCATTTTTTGTCATAAAACGTGACAGTGAATTATATTTATCGACAAGGCTGTATTTAATGAATACAAATCGTTAGGAGGTCGAGGTTTTGTTATAACATCCAATTAGTCTTTTCTCCATAAGGAGTTTATCTAAAAATCTAAGGACATTATGACATGAAACTGAGTGACATGTGACAAAATAGGTCACAGGTGTACTTTTAGCTCAACTAGCAGGACTTTGTACAATTTATTACAGTAATCTTCGCATAAAATATTAATAAGATAAGTATCATTTTAATGTAGTTTTATTGCACAAAAAATAAGCGACTCGTTAGAATAAAACAATGCAATGTAACTAAGTAATTGAGATTTTATTAAGATAATTTTGAACATAGGTATATTTCAACCAACAACGAGCGTCTACTAAATCTTACAAACTGTGGATTTTATGTCAAAGAGTTGACTTTTACAATTATTTTACACTAGCTTTTTCCCACTTCTCCGTTCGCGCGGAATTTAAAAAGAAACATAAGTGAGTAGCCTATGTGTTCTTCCAAACTATCCTCTACATCTATACCAAATTTTATCGTAATCCGTTCAGCCGTTTAGACTGCCAACACTAACAAACTCCATCTATCAAAACTTACGCATTTATTATATTAATATGATATACTTTGTAGAAAAGTTCTTTATTACTTTTTTCATACCCAATCGAATTTCTACGTCGCTGCGTCGCTCATTATTCGTAATACGTAATTACTCATGATCTAATAACATCAATTTTAACTTAAAACATCAAAATGAGACCTAGTATAAAGACCCAGATTCAAGGCTGAAACCGTATATCATTCAATAAAGCAAGTAGGTGTTTAAAATTGAACACAGAAGTCAATTTGTATAACGATTTTTTAATTGAATGAAGAGGCGCTTATTCAATTCTCTTTTTTCCATTCGTACTGATATCGACTCAAGTTTCAACGTTCTAAGAATGCTATTCATTAGAAATTAATTAGCTCTATTTGATATTTACAATTAGCTGTTAACACGTTGTTACACACACTTCATAATTTAATATCTTTCGAAGAATTTGGATATTAACGCTTCGATTTCAAAAAGAACGCAAAATGTCAAACGTGTCTTAACGGTACAAGGTTTATACCATTCGGGACTTTAAATATATGTTACACTTTTACAAAATTAAGAACAACAGAAATGTAATCAAACACACAACAATTTTTTTTATTATTTTCAAAATCACCTGATCTCTAATTGATAGCCAATATCTGCATACTTTAGTGTTAAAATTGTTGATGCTAGCGTTTAACATCAGGTGACTGCGAAATATCACTATCATTTATTTAGGGCTGATGTTACATAATCTAATGCCATATAATCAGCAAATTTTATAAATTGTGACAGTTAATTTAAAAAATACTAACTGTTGCACGCGACTTTGTACGCGTGAAATTAAAAAACAATAAAAAGACATTGAAATCGTCTCAGTAGTCTTAGACATTTTTAACTACATACAAAAATACCAATCTTTCCTCTTTATAATATTAGTATAGATTACATAGATGTGCGCGAAAAATCGTACCCACCCGGGTCAGTCGGGTAGAAAACAAGTGCAAAACAAATAAGCAAGGTAAGTGTCGTGAATCTGTATATAAATAGAGTATAATCTTATAAGACTATAACTAAGTAACTAACTTGGTTAATTAAACGTTAACATTACTAGATCTTTAAAATATTACTTCGACAAGAAAATGTAATAAAATACTATGTGCTTGTAAATAAATTTAATGATGAGCTACGAATATAATAAATACCAAAAAAACTCACCTCTTAAATAAAAAAAAAACTCGATAAAAACGTTTGTATTAAATACTAATCACAAGATTCGCATCTGTACTTGAATACAAATAACATAACTATCTGTTAATAATTCTTAACATGAAATATCTAGATTTATTTCTGTCTAGATTATTTCTCGCTCACTACCGAATCGGGCAAGTGCAAGAATTATATTAAATGAGTAGCGGACACTATAACCGCTGACTACGCACTGGCTGTCTGCAAAACGATTCTTCATCGCTAAATTATATCAAACTGGCTGGTTTTTATAAACAAGCTGGGAAGATATAAAAATATGTATACAAAAAGCATAGATTTATTCTCAAATTAATGCACAAATATTTTAAGTGTTCAAATTATAACAATTTTAATTGTAACTGTAAAAAATGTTTTAGTGATAGTTAATTAACTGTTTAGACCTTCGGCCTATCTGAGAAATATTTTGTGATTTAAAGGAAAAGTAAATAAACTTGGACATCTCAAAAAGAATAACCCTTCAAAAAGAGAACATTAAAGAAGGTCTAGAGGTAGATTTTCATGTATACAAAGCTAGGTAATGATAAAGCTAAATAAATAGTTCCATTTACCACATTACAGTATGCAAAATATTTCCTAATAACTAACGTAACATGTTCAATGAGGTCTTGCAGTCAGTACTTAATATCTATTGCCATCAAGATCATGAAGACTGGCAACCTAAAACGTTCTCACATTACAACTCGCACAATTAAAATCGGCATTGATATGTCGAGAATTGTATAATAATAAAATAAATTGCGCCTTGACGGCTTCACGGTTACGATTATTTTTAATAACTAGAAGTTAAGTATATTGTAATGTTTACTATCAAAATATTAACTCCTGTTTAGACGAATGTTGTATTTATATTTCTTAAGACTTTTTACACTTAGACAAATAATCTAAGGTACAATAACAATGCATAGTATCAAATAATCTAAATTTATTTAAGTTAAAAATTGACAAAGTCAAATTCTCTGTTCAATTTCAGAGTTAGAACTAAACACTCCTTGCAACTATCCCAGTTTGCTTTAGAGTTGTCTGGATCAATGTCATGTGGCAGTACAAGCTTCAAGTAATATTGTGGCGATTGCACCGTCACACTCTTTGTATCAACAGTCAATTCTACGTTCTCTTTCTTGTCCCCCGGGAGCTGGATCCTCACGATAAGATTCTCGCAACTCGCTGACGAAGGTGTTTTCGGGCCCATCTGTTTAAAAAAAGATATGAAAAAATGTATATTGAAATTCTCTTTATTAAAGTTAAACTAAAACTATCCCCTATAGTGTAAAGAACATACAACACGTAGCGGAAATATAATACTTTTAAAGAATATTGTAAAACAGTCAGAACATTTTTGCTATATAAAATGGATATTTTGTGTTAATTAACTCAAGACTTATAAAACAGTTCCCAGCTTCTGTTAAAATTGGATTATTCAGCATTAAACGATACTTCTTTACTTTTACAAATAGACAGCGACAATTTACCTGAAGGAAAACATCTTCTGCGCTGACAGATTGCTGATAATTCATAGTATATTCCGGTGTCTTCCTATCTTCTACGCCACCGCAGGGGCCGACCAAACTATCGAGTTCTGCTGCTTCTTGCTCCTCATATTCCTCTATAGTTCGCGGCGCTTTCGTGTCTTTCTCAAGACACGGCACTTTATCTCTATTTGATGTTATTTGGTAACCTGCAATATAACTAATATTACAAAAGCGAAAGTTTAGATGGATGGATGTTTTTTAGAGTTGTAGCCTAAACGGGTTAAAGGATTTCAATAAAATTCGGTTAGATGTATAGGAAAGTCTGGAAGTAATAACACATAGGCTAATAGCTTTTGTTTTTTTTAATTCCAGGCAGATGGAGTCGCGGGCGAAAGCTTGTTTAAAACACTTTTTTTTCGTATGATAAGTATATAGAATCATCATTATATCACCATTACCATTGTAGGATTTAGGGAAGACCTCAACGAAAATTATTTTTATAAAGATGAAATGGATATGCCTATTCCTGTTATGTAGTTAAGAAAGGAAATAGAAGTTGGTATTTGATATGGGCTCCCTTTAATTCAAGGAAACTGTTATCATAGTTTTTGTTTAGCAATTATTTAGCTGTACACCTTCCCCAACCTGGTGATGACCAAAAGTGCAGAACATATAGGAATATAACTTAACATTAGAAGCTGCGGAATGTATAACCTTGACATAGAAGATTTAATCAATACATAAACGTTTACAGTTGATTTACCGTCCCTATCGGCTTATTTAAATAACAGCCGTATCTAAATAAAAGCATATAAAATAAACATATTGAAATCTCCAATTAGGCAGAGTGTGAAACAACAAACGTTTGTCACCAGATGACTCTTTTAGGGCGAAATAAATAATCCTTATCACACAAGAACATGCATTTAAATGGTTTCCTCATGAATCTAATATAAAAAAAAAATGTTCATAGCCTACCTGAAAAGGGTAAATCATCCCCTTGCAAAACTTCAGGTTCAGGCTCCCTTAATAATTCTTTCAATTTAGTCATAGTATCAGCAGTAAATTCCATGTTTACTATTATTTGCAACAACTAACAACAATCAACTAACAACTAAACAATGCTGATTTTTTTTACTACAATGGAGCATTCAAACTCAATGATTCAAACAATATTGACAAAACAATAACATTTGAAATGTTATTATAGTTGCTATGGTAACTGTCTTGTTTTACACTTTAGGGATATAAAATATAAAAATAAGTAACCAAAAAGACTACTATTTCTATGTCAATTACAAAAAATATTGCATGTTATATAGTAGTAGTTTTCTGAAATTGCCTAAGACTTGAAATATTAAACCATACCATTTTTTCCAAAACTTATAGTATATTCAATAATTACAATTGGTTTCTCTACTCATTTACTTCCTAATTCCCATTGGATCAAATAATTTCCAAGAATTAAGCAAATAAACACCAATAATTCACTATTATGTGTACAAGTCCCCTTGTAAAAAATTTATTACACTCATTATAACAAAAAAAGGTTATATTAGTTAAAAAAAAAACAAAATAATTTTTTAAATTATCTATATTAAGTATTCAAACAGAAATTACATTGTTATTATAATAATTTGCAACTCTATTACAACCAGTGCAAAATATAACTTGACAGAAATTTAAGGGAAACCATCATCATCTTCCTCCGCCATTTCCTTGGCAAGTTCAAGGTCTTGTTGTTCTCTTTCTCTGCGTTCTTCAGCACTTTCTAACTCCTTCCCATATGACTTGGGAGGATATCTCATGGCCTTCACACTCTGGTTGTGTAAATCCAAACAAAATGAAATTCTCTGATGGAATGCGAGCTGAGGCTCCCTTGTGCAATAGAGATCAGAACTCTCTTTGTTGCTCATGTATCCCTTTTCAGGGTCTAGAGTAGCCTCAATCACACCATCCCTGATGGCTTTTGCAACAATAAATTCCGCATCTTCAGCAGAGTCCAAGCCCAACTTCCTTGCAATATCTTTAGGTGAAATGCGTGAATATGATAGACCAATTGAACGGATTGCAGTCTTAATAACATTCTGCCTGAGTCTCAAAATCAATGTAAAAGTATGATCAGTCCGGAATTGAGGACCGTAATTTTCAAGAACTTCACCAAACCGCTGTAAGTTACCCAGCCTAACAGCTTGAGTTAGCTGGAAGTACGGAGCAAGTGCTTTTCTCAACTGCGCTTGACGGAATACAGCACGTTCAGGTATGTCACCCAGCAATAGCTCCACAACAATAGCCAATTTTTGCACAGTTTGACGGAAACCAACTGCAGCAGTCTGTGGAGCCTTTCGTAACGCTTGAACTAAGTGCTTGTGAGCATCACTGTACTCAAGCCTGGCTGCCTTAATTCTGCCAAGATAGTACAGAAATCTGGCCCACTCATTATTACTGGCATTCTCAGGGAACACAGATTTACTGACTAATTTATCAGCCTGGTCATATAAAGAATAATGGAGGTAGTTACGTAAGAGGCAGTTAATTAAAACTGCTTGTCCCTCATAATCATTACGAAGGGTGGATGTACGCAAACGCCCATGGAGCAAGCCTCGAATCAAATCTAACTTGTTAGTGAGTTCAAATACTCGAGAATGATAGAAGTAGCACTTGGCAGCAATCAAATCAAGGGTTCTTCTATTTTGAGCAGTCACTTTGTTCATTAATTGCTGTGAACACTCCGTTGCTTCTTCAAGCTTATTTGTATCTAACAATCGCAGCAATATTAAAAGATGCACATAAGCATCTACCTCAGGAGCAGGCGTTTTCGGAGCACTTCTTGACCGAGGAGCTTCAATTTCTACGGCACCTGGTACAGGACTTTCAACAAACGCAAGTAGAGCTTCTTTGTCTGAAGTCGATGGAAACAGTTGATTTATTATGGCTCGCAGAACATTGCCATTTAACTTCTTCCTTGTACTTGGAATAGATCGCAATACTCGCATGGCAAATCTCGGCTCCTTTGACGAAACTGCCTTATCAATTTGTCTGACATGTTCCCGTAGGTCTTGAACGGAGAGAACATCGGCATCTTTCTTCACTTCACTCATTTCTACATCGCTGACCCCTGCTGGGCTATCAGCATTTTTCATTTCGACGTCTTGTTCCACTGGAGCCATTTCTTGCTATATATTTATCAGCTTTAATTAAGATTTGGTATATTTGGGACAATAAATGATTTTAGACAAACACAAAATTAAATTTTCATGCTGGCTGTCAGACTGTCAAAAAATGCCGAGTAACACTTACGTTCCGATACACTTACAAGTTAACCTTGTTTTGCTCTGCTCATTTTTGAAAAATCTTTATAGAAATTTTTGAAAGTTTATACATTTTGAACTATACCTATTGCAAATATATAAAAATATACTATTACATAACTATTAAAATGTGATTTAATAAAAAAATCCCTACCGTGGTTCAACCACAACTCAGCAATCCATTATCGATAATAGTAGAAATTAAAAGTTTTCACATGGTAATATTAATACCCATTGCATTATGGCTTTACTAGCCGTTGCCCGCGACTTTGTACGCGTAGTACTAAAAAATACAAACTGTGAAAACAAAAAATCTATGTATTCCTCTGGGAACTGTCATTTTTCGGGGATGAACGATATCCCATGAGTTACTGCAGGCTTTGCTTTATGTAAGTATTTAAGATATATTGCAGAATTATCGAATAAATATGATAAAAGGAAATTGATGTATCGTATGTAACTGTAATGTAACTGTTATTATTTCCGGTATCAAAGAAACAAAATAATTTGCGAGTCCAATTAGTCACTCGCTGTCACGCTATGCTTAATATCTGCGATAAAAAGTAAAGTAAAATGTATAAAAAACATACAGACGAATTGATTACCTCCGTCTTTTGAGAAATCGGTCAAAAACATCTAATCGATCTTAATACTAAATCTGGGGAATTCTCAAGCATAGATCATAATTGCCGAATACAAAGTATTTGAAAATTTATTTAAACGTTACTACATCAAGTTTATCAAATTTATATATCAAGAATTAAATTAGATTACACTAACTATATCCACCTAAAAGACTGGAATATGGTAATTATAAACCGTCCCGAAGAAATTATTCTTTAAATAAGCCATGACTGTTATAAAAGCCAGTTAGTGTTAGCGATATGGTAGTTGGATTCCAGTCCAGTTGGTGGATACTGTCTAACAGTACTGACCAATCGTCACTATATAACATCTACAAGCGCGTTTAAGTTGGAGTGTAGCAATAGTTGTCGTTTCCCACCACAAACCTATCCATTTATATAGATTAGTGTTGCTGGTTTGAGTTCTTGCCTTGGAATTGCCATCTTTCTAATCCATAGACTACTGCAGTATAGACAAGACAAAACTACTAGCATTGCTCTTAGTTGCTTAACCAATAGGTGTACTAGTGGAATACTGATAAAAGGCTTTTAACAGTTTTATTACTAATGTTACAATCGAAAAGATTTGTATTATTACCATCACATTATCACCGTAAAGGTGTGTGCCAAAAATTATAAGCTGAAGGAGTGTTGAGACTGCAGGGGACCGGTTGATTCTTTACATAAAATTTCAATGTGTTCTGGAAATGGTTTGCAAAGAGGACGTGGTATCATGGTTTAAAGAATTGGAAAGCTATAAACGCATAGACGCAATGTGTACATTGTTAAACATGTGCTTACCATTCGAACTGCGCTTTATTGGCACTTATTTGGAAGAACTCGGTAAGCGGGACTTTCAGGAGTTGCGTGGTGCCGAACTTAGAGCCAACAATCCTACAGATCTGGCAGCAGATATTGGCGGCGCCAATTCAGATCCAAGAACGCGACGAAAAATGGCTTTATATGTGTCACTATTACGTTCATGTAATTTTGTTTGTGCGACCACATTGTACAATGAAATGGTCAGTTTAGAGCAGAGTGGTCTACTAAAGGGTTTGTATGGTGATCTTTTGGAGGAGATTCTCTTATTATACACTATGGCGTTACATCATCCCGCCTTTACATTTGATCAGAAATCGCATTTTGGGGAAATATTAGAGAAGTTGAAACTTGAAGATCAGCGAATACATTATCAAGAACAGCAAGAGCACATTATTGCCCCAGTGAGTGGTTGCCATAATCAATCAAGTATTGCACCCAATATGACTATTCCGCCACCCAATTTGCCTGGCTTGATACCACCACCACCTGGTATCATGTTTGTCAAAACAACAGGAGTTCAGGTCAGTGTCACAATCATGATTACATATATATTTTCATTATGAAGTGCATTTTATATTCATGTCCTACTTCTTGCATATCATTTGGTAAAATGTGTGTTGCTTGTGTAATATGTGAATTATGTTTAAATGTTTGTTGATTGCTTCATTAGCATGTAACTATTTCTGGATTACTTAGGGCCTGTCTCACCAAATTGTAAATTGTTTGATAAAAATCTAACATGTAAAATATGCAATTTAAATATCATATTTTGTCTGAGCTTCTAAAAACCAGTGGTGGGATGTGCCCTTAAACTTATGGATTTTATGTTAGCGGAAAAACAAGAAGAAAAGTTACTATAAATGTAGTACAGTAATAAAGGTTATACTTTGAATCACTTTAATATAAGTTTAATAATGAAAAGTATCTAGTTACTGTATATATATATATATATTACTTAAACAATTTTTCTAACTTCTGGGGTTAATAAAAGCATAACAATAAATACATGGCTGCTATTTGACCATCAAGATTATGGATATTAATTATTTAAATACAGTTACTAGATACTTTTCATTATTAAACTTATATTAAAGTGATTCAAAGTGTAACCTTTGTTACTGTACTACATTTATAGTAACTTTTCTTCTTGTTTTTCCGCTAGCATAAAAACCATAAGTTTAAGGGGACATCCCACCACTGGTTTTTTGAAGCTGAGACAAAATATTATTATGATTCTTGTGTAAACATAATAATCTACAAAGTGTAGAAGTACAAACAACATATTATTCAGGATTAAGTCAAATAATATTGATTAACATACCACAATTAAGTGTGCTAGAAACAATGTTGACAAGCTACTCTAAAAAACTTTGCTTTAAAAACATTATTATATTTAGTTTTCTGAAACCTTGAATGAACTTGTGGTTGTGTTTTCTTATATTTTTTTTATTCAATAAGGTAGCAAATGAGCAAGTAGCCACCTAAATCCCCCAAAATGGCGAAGCTAATTTTGATACTATGATCATTTAATCATAATAATTAAGAATGTTATTCATTGACAATCTTGTGTAATAATTATCTTGTGTTTTTGCAATGTACTGCTACAAATTTATTTAGTTTGTATAGTTTATTAAAATTTAATTACATAAATTTAAGTGTCTCACATTTTAACCATTTTACTTGTGTCGAGTTCATGTGTTGCTTCAACTGCATCATATAAAAATTTTATTTTTTGTTTACATTCTGTAAAACTTTCATTTGCAAATGTCAAAACTCAAATGCTTATGATAGTTACAGAAGGCCTTGACCGTTGGCCTACAAGTTATTGCATTGCATTGCTATTAGCTTGTAGTTTTGGCTCTTTTGTTGCATGACAATATTTTCCAATTTAAACCGTAAATTAGAAAAATCATCCCAAAAGTGTGAAAATTCTAATGAAGAAGGATGTAATGCTGAAAGACTGGGTAACTGCCTAGTCTCAGATAAAGATATCAATATTATGTGAAGAAGAAATTATGAAAGAAGACTCAACCTTGTAGTGTACTAGCTAGGGAGAAAGCACAAAAGTTTTGATATAATCACAGATAATGGTTTTTACATTTTTCATCAAAAATATATCTTAATTTCCAGCCTACAAGCACGGATGGTGTACCTGAATTGAGTTCACCACCAGTTCTGACAAGTGCTGGTGGTGTAGTGCCAATCCTAGCGGAAGTCACCCACCCACCTCCCGGTCTGCCGCTGCCACAGTACAACATGACGGAGTTCATAGGACAGCATGCATGGCCCGCAAACATTATTGTGTCCCCATTAACACAGCCATTAGAGGTAATATACATTAGTTTTAGATTTAGCATATTCCCCATTGCTATTGAAAAAATATTTTAAATCATTTTATTCTTAATTTGATGGTGTGACAAACAGCTAATTAAAAAAAATCTACTGAACTAGTTTAGAGGAAAATACGTGAGATTTTGATTTAAGTTTTTGGTAACATATATTTTTTTGTTACAACAAACTGCATAGAATTATGGGTTAAATCTGAGATACTAATATTGGTCGATGTTCAAGTTTTCCTTTGGATTATTTGTCATCAGATATTTAAAACAATTATAGCATAACTTTAACATGTAATTAAAATAATTTACTTAAAGGGAGAACAAATGTTTTCAGGTATTAAATTATCCTACGGCTGCGGGCGCGCCTCAGTCGCCGCTGATGTCGTCTCCAGGAGACAGCCGCGCGGGCTCGCCGCGGCGGCGTCGCCTCTCCCGCGACCGCAGCCCGCCGCTGCCGCCCCTGCCGCCGCTGCCCAGCGCCGTCGCAGAGCCCGCCCCCTTGCCACACATCACTGCCAACTTTGAAAATTTAACAGTAGCCGAGGTATGTTGTCCTAATCCAGGGATGGTAAACCATTGACACGTGTGCCATATTGCACGCGACATTATATTTTGGGCACGTGGCTGATTATAAAAACACTACGGAAGAGTATGAAGTAGGTATGGTGTTTTTTTTTAAGCGAACGCGATGCCATTACGATGCACCATAGATTTGACGTAATAATTAGACAAAATTATTCGACGTCACGTGTAAGACTGCATTAATTTTTCTTTAAAAAGGCACTTAGATGCATAAAAGTTCACCAGCCCTTGTCTAGTCTGTCGTATTCGATAAAAACATTTTCCCTTAACTCTTAAAAACAGGTTGAATATTTTTTGCGAATATATATTGTATGACACTGAATCTTTTTCTTTTAACATTTCAGATGCGACATAATATAGGAGAGGATAGGTTACGTGAAATCAATGCAGTACATCAACAATATCGATCATTAGAAAAATTGAACGGAGTGAGAAGACGCGCCGGCGCATACATCCCGGCGACGCGCTCCTCCTCCGACAGCGGGTCCAGCGCCGCCTCCTCGCCGCCCGGCACGCCCGCGCCCGCGCAGCGCCGCCACACGCCCTCGGCGCCCCCGCCCGCCCCCGCCCCCGCACCCGCCCCGCAGGTGCCCTACCTCCCCTACCCGCGGCCCTACGCCTACCCGACTCCTCCGCCGGGCTTCAGACCGCCCCAGCCGTCCTTCGCGAACGGCGAACCCCCGCCATACTCGAATCCCTCGTACGCCGGCTTCGTGCCCGTCATATACGCACCACCCAAACTGTCGTGTTGGAATTGCGGCGCGGCGGGGCACGCGGGACACGACTGCAAGGAGCCCAGCATGGAGGAGATGACTCGTGCCGGGGGCTACCAGCTGGATTTCGGTGGCGCACCTCCGGATTCGACGGACAAGTAGCATTGGTGGCCTCGCTGAGGTGAGTTGTTGACACTATAGGGCGGGCGCCGCGTCCGGCACGTCCGTCGCGGGCCGCACGCGCGCAGCGACTGCGGCCGGCGCGCTGCCCGCTCAGCAGGACCGCTCAGCCGGGCCCCACAGATACCCTCGTTTAATGCAATCTGACATTTCTCTATATAGATTAAAATTAACAGTGTGTACAGTGTTAGTGTTACATGCGCTTGCTGTAACATATTGTGGTGGTAAATACGCATCACGCTCTCCAGTGTATTGCACTTTCAATAATTTATTTTTATAAAATTGTAGATTTAGGATGAATTTGAATTTTGCAGGCATAGATAATCAACTTGTTATATAAATCAGTAGCGGGGCAATCTTCCTGTGCTAGACTTACCAGCATATCTCTGTAGTCGGTATAGACATGATTTACTTACCATACTGTTATATGGTAATTCTGTCTGTAATTTTTGTTAACCTTATTTATAAATGTATTATGGGGTTATGTAGTTAAAATATGCACAAAAGGCAATAAAACACGAAGTAATTATTTTAGGGATTGTCAAGAATATCCATTTTTACACCTTAAACAATCTGACGTTACATAAGTGGGAATACACAAGTTAATTTATTATTTTGATTGAAAATGAAAAATACTAGCAATCCCTGTAAATATTTACTCAATAGTAAAATGTCACAAGTCATCTTTTATAAATATTTTCATTGTCTTAATAATGTCTGTTAAAGATCAATATTGAATGGTCGCAAATATAGTTCGTAATAAATCGTATTCTGAGCGGTTTAAATATTTTTAGCACAAACTTTTGTATGTTACTGTGCTATGACTACAAAAATAATCGTACAAAACGTTTTTTTCTAGTTTTTTCAATGTGAATTAGGAGTTTATATGCGGTATGACCAAACCAAGAATATAAATATCGCGGTCTGAGAGTGCTTCAATAACCTTCATTGGATCACTTTAATTTGTGCAAAGGATAAGTTTCATATTTTTACACAATTTGACGATAATTTTATATTCCCGGTTAAGCTATAAATATGCATGATTACTTTATAAATTGATCCCATCTACCCGCTAAACATTCGATGGCTCCCACGTAAACTATCGTATGTTTTAAATGCAAATTTTGAAAGACATTTAAATTAATACGATAATTAAGATACAATAAACATGATGTTTGTATGTAATAAATAACCAAAATTTTGCAGTTTTTCTTTCTAAGTTCACTTTTAAATTTGCACAATAATTACTTATCAAGTTAATTTTAAAACTTTACAAGATTTTTGAAAAATTATAGCTTACGATAGTTTACGTAGGAGCCCACGTCATTCTGATAGTCCAGGGTTATTAATGATTGAAAGTGCAGCACTGTGTTGTTTAATCATTTCATTTTAGAATGGAGAGGGAATTCCATGATTAAAAAAATTCTAGTGTACATACTCAAGCGTTTTTGCTTTCTATAACGGATGGTAATCAGTTTTGATACATTCTGATACTCAAATTAGATATGGATATTTTTAAAAAACTTAAAAGTAATTTGAAAACCAAAAAAAAAAATGTTTAATTTAAAAATGTTGCTTGATATCTGTATAGGTTTTTAGTGTTTTAAGATTTATTAATAACTCTTTTTGTGCCTTTGTATAAAAATTGAAATTATGGTTAACCAACCATGTTTTAATAATTGCTATCTTTTCTGTTATAATATGGATCAAAATATTTCCCAAAAACATTCATATATTTGACTCTTACAGACCTACTTCTCGGTTAGTTAAAATATTTACTATTATCCAATTTTCCTATTAAAGATTCCTAGAGTTCAAAAGATCTGTAAAGTGACCTCTTAGATTGTATCCATCTCATCTGATCTAATCTCTGTCTGACATTATTGGAGTAAATAGGTCTATGCTTACATAGAGTAATGCGTGGTTCACACTTGGCCATTACAGTTGGTCTGCAACAATCAACAGGTACAATGTAAATGCTAACTGGTATCAGTGTGTCGATATAATCTGCGTCTGGCTGACGCAACTGTCTGTACTGGCCAAATGTATACCGCCTATAAGTTAATATAACTCATATGCTTTATATTTGTATTTCTACAATTTTATTTAAGTTAACAATTACAATGAATTGCTGAGTTATGAATTTGAAGTGAATAGAAAAACTTTTTTTTACTTCTATTTGGGAATTATTAATTATTTATCTGTAAAGCATGTTAACTTTACAGTTTTGTAACTTATATGGAAAATTCTAATTTTTGACTGCTTCCTTTGTTATGAGGATTCTTATTTATACCGAATGAATTGAAAGAAACTTAAATGCCCAGTCTATTCCCAGTAATAAATAAAAATTGTCAAAATAAATTTAGTTTTAGTGCCATAATCAAAATTGTATGCTAAAATGTAATGCCAGTGAAAACATAAATTAAGATTTCTTCTTTTGGCCATAATTTATTAGAATGAGTTTAGTGACTTTTATAATATTTTCTGCTTTATAGTCTATCCGACTCTTAGTGGCCATAAATGGAACTAAATGTCAAAAGTCACTTATTGATTTGTCATGTCTTGTGTACTATGCTTTGGATATTTTCTAATGGAACTAACCAACGCCATTGGCCACATTAAAAGCTGATTCTGTTGTAAAGAATTTTGTCAGGATTAAAGTCTTAAATTCTGAAAAATTAGTTCAAGTATTTTCTATTTTATATAACCTTTAAACCTATGGTGTTACTTTAATTTTAGTACATGCCCATTAGTACAAGTAGATTCGTTTTTAGTGTAATCAGTATAGGACAAAATAATTTTAAGAGTTTTTAATATAATTTTAAAATTATCATTTTCAAATGGTTCGATGAAAAATGATACGAATGTTACATTAAACTAAAGGTGTCGTTACATCAGCTATGAAGGTTTTATTTATTGTTTCAATGATTTTGCATCCAAGCTGGAATTCCCCGAAATTCTACACATTTTTTAAAAATCATTATAAATTGCAATGTAATAAAAATACCATTTGTAAGTTCTATTCAAAGTTGAAACATAAATTGATCGGTTAGTAATGTTTCCTTTGATTCAAGACTGATTTCTAATAGTTATTGTTGATTTCCTCAACTTCCGAACGTTCGTCCACGATGGAAACTGGTATGGGAATGTACAACAATGAAATCTGATTTTATAAAATGACAGTCCGTATGTTGAATGAAACCCACAGAACTAATGATTATTTTGATCAAGCTCATAAAATGCAATGCTCTTAAAATTAATATAATATAAGTTTTATACATATAGTCATTGTAAATAATTACAAATTTTTAAGAGATATAACTCGTCAAACGTCGACGTGTTCGTATTTTGTAAATAGTTCGGTTTATATATTTAGTAAATATTTAGAGATTGATTATATTTGTAAATTACATTGTAATAATTCGAGTGTCCCAGTGTTGATGTATTTGATCATTTTCTCTATAATTGTCACAAATCACAATTTTGCATTTGTATGCTCGTTGGCAACAGTCAAATTGAAATGGTTGTATGATTTTTTTTGCATAATTATTTTTTTTAAAATGGTAACAAATGTACGCGGCGGTGGGAGACTGGGCTCGGCTGCGGGTCGACCTTACAACACAACACATTCACATTTCGTTTATGTAAAGAGCATTTAAAATTGCTAATTTACTAATGACCTTACATTTTTATGAATGCAAACAAATAGAACAATTGTTGTGTTTTGTGTAAAATTATTTGCAAAATTCTATCGAATGAAATTGAAAATAAATGATTGCCGTTATATTGTATTTGTTTTAAAATAATAATAAACTTTAAACACTTGGTACGTTTTTGACTCCACTGTATAATGTCTTGTTTGATTCTACATTTTAGACAAGTAATAAGGGACTTTTAGTGTTAAAATATATCCATATATCTACCAATCCTTATGAAGGTTGTATGTCCACATATTGTAATTATTGTTTTATTTAAATCTTAATAATTTTATTACGATATTTAAACGAGTTGAATAGATTAAAATAGGATGAATATTAACTTAATTGTATGTATAAGTATACTTAGCCCTTAACAGCGATGGCTTTAGACAATTTGTAGAATTTGATGAATTTAGTTTTTAACATTGTTAATTGAGAAATATCGACATGTGATAAGTACAATTTCACTTTGGAATGTTTTTATTTCAACCACTCAAAGATTTAAATACATCGATAGACTTATAAATTTTGTTAATGTTGAGTGTCCTAGATGTTCAATAAATTCACATATAAGTTGGTAAAATTTACGCACTAGTCAAAAATGTGTTTGTTTTTAGTAGCAGGCTCTCTGGCGTTTTTTTAACATAGTGATACTACCATACCTTTATTAAAATAATATTTTGTTGATTTTAATTGTTTGCCCTGTCTATCTATGTATTTAATTCTTCGTTACAAATCTGTCAGAAACCAGTTGTTGCGAAATGCAGCTTTATTTTGTACTAACAAAAGTATGAAGATATTTTTTTACTTTGTACATAATGTTATAAATGTGATAATTAAATTTGACATAATTAGTGATTGTGATTTAGTAAGGTATAGTTTGAGGATCCGCAATTAAAACTCGCTTTACTAAATCTTACAACTGCCCTACTTCGTACGTATTTATAGCGTTGTTTTCCCATATTTTTATATTTGGGTACTTATGTATAAAGTGCTGTTGTATTGTCTACTTATATATCGTAAAAAAAACTATTTTCAGGAATATGAGTGTTTCGACCCAGTATTGTAAGAGCTCTGTATCCCACCAATGCTGTGAATCATTTGCTTCCTGGGAAATAAAAAAAAATATACCAAAATCTATTAAGTTTTTTAATTATTTATCCTTTTAATTGTTTTTTTCAATTTTTGGTTTGGTGGAATTACTCGACTATGCGTTTAACAGTGTTAGGATCACTTAATTACTCCATAGACAAGTGTGTTGTGCTGTTTTTACAAATATTTCTTACAATCATGGGTCAATTATTTAATCTATATTTGAGGTTATAAGCAGGACAACCACAGCGGTACTGCGCTTGATTGGATTTAATTATAATCGGTCTATTCAATAACATTGTTACGTAATGAATAATTAATAGATTGCAGATGTGCTGACGTATAATAATGATACACCGTTTCCGTATGCCTTGCTATGTTGAGCCATTTCCGTTAACATTAACCTAGTTTTATATTGTCTACGTTATTCTTAACCTAGAAGATATTTTTTTTATATTATAAGGTGGCAAACGAGCAAACGGCTACCTAAATCCGCCAAAATGGTGAAGCGACCGCTGCCCATAGACATCCGCAATTGCAGATGCGTTGCCGACGCTTAGCCGACGGTCTCCTCCGTAAACCATAAACCGAAGATATTTCCCCTTCCTATGCGCCTCCGCCGTCAAATCCACTTTCCCTTACCATCCCTTCCTTATGAAAAAAGAGTGGTAAGAGAAAGGGAATTTAATTAGGTCTCCGGCACCACACTTATCAGACATAACGCGGGATTACTGCCACTTCACGCCTGTCTCCTGTGTGGTCGTTGTATTACACCGGGCGAGCTGACCCATTCGTGCGAAGATGTTAAAGAGGGCTCTACCACTGTTATAATAGAGATAAAGTAATTTTGTTTGACGGCCTGTTATAGAAACAATGCTAGATGCTCGTAGGAACCAAAATAGGACTATAGGCAAAAGCTGACTTGTAATTCTAGAATTAATATATGTAATTCAATAGTAATATAAAATATAATAACATTACTTTATATTGTATAAATTACATTATACGTTACAATTTATATATATAAGGCATAACACAATCATTAAGTTGGTTTTCAAAATTTAATTTTCTAAAATTCTGTTGTATTTATTATAGTTCAGAACTAAGTAAAAACGAAAAGCGTTTTATTTATACGTCGAACGTTATGTTATTAATAGCCCTTTGTTTCCCAGGAGTTTTTAACTAAAACTGATAAAATGGATATTGGGATACGAATTTTTTGAATCGCCTCTATTAGGCACTTCCGGTATCTTTGTAAATGTTTTACCTTATTTTCATATAATAGTTTTGGGACGTTAGAACTCCAGGAGCTCATAGCCAAGTTTCTTAAAAATATTTTTATATATATTACAACTTGCATAAGTCAATACTATTTGTGACTAAAGGTAATTAATTAAGCATACGGGATTGTAAAAAATATATTTCATGTGGGCATTTAGTCCGGGTCAATAAAGTTAATTTTTCCCCGAGGTCTCATTCCCATTCATTGACTTTAATGGTAGTCGTCAATAAATGTCTACGTGAAATCTGATTTTATCGTATTGAAATTTTTTTTCATGTTCATGCGATTGGAAATAATTGTAAATATACATTTTTTTTTACAAAAGAGGTAACTACTAAAGGTAATTATTAGATCTTTTTACGTAGCGAAATTATCTTGGTTAATTAAGTGATATTCAATCCCACAGAAGGTATCGGATGAAATATGATATTTCTGTGGTATCGAGGGAAAAATATTTCTTATTATGGTTGAAAATTTTTAAATGGAAAAACGCATGTTGTTACGAAAAGGTTTTTTTTTCGTTATCATCTATTTTCAAGCTTTTAGAAAAATCCTCGATAAGAATATTAGAATTATTTTAACCCAAGAAAATCCTTTAAAATAGTTGGTAAATGAATTAGAAAACACCTTATTATATTCTGTAAATTATCATAATTTTGCTAAACGTTTGTGTAGACGTCGGAGCTTTTACCTGTGTATTATTATTCTGAGCGAACGAAAGTGTTTGTATAAGAGCTTTAGACAAATTAATTACGTTGATTTTGTCGCTGATTCAATAATTAATAACTGGAAAGTTCAATGCTCCTATTTGTAATAACCTCGCAGACAGCTATATAAATATATAAAAGTGTACCTTTCGCTTATTTACAAAAAGAATTACAATTACGAGTTGGGAATTGGCCGTCAAACTAGCGACAACTTAACTTTGAAAGTGAAGTAATACTTCACAAGAGGCGTACTGCTCCCGTAAAGGTCGGCAAGGCATCTACGGTTCCTCTAGCGTTGCTGATGTCCATGGATGGCGTATCAAGCAGCATTACGGGTTCCGCTGCTCGTTTACCTCCTACTATAAACCTCATGCAATTAAATTGGTATTGGCTTTGAGAAATTTGACAGAAGAATATCGTTGTTACCCTGTAAACCTTACATTTCATATGTTTATTTAAAATATGTAAATGTGTAATAAAGTTATAAAGGTATTGAACATTGTTCGCTTTACGCTTTTAAAGATATTTCAATACGATAAAGTCTGATCTCGCGTTGACATTTATCGTCGGTCGTTGTTTTATTTAATGAATGGAAACGAGGCTTCGGCAAAACGAACTTACTGACGCTAATTAATTGATTTATTTGAAACGACAACGGTATGGGACGAATTTAAAAATTATTAGGCTTAAGTAAGTTGCTTATCTCCTCAAGCGTTTTTATTCTAATCTCTATATATCTATACCAATATCATAAATAAGAAAGATTTGTACTTTTGTACGTATTTAAATAACTCAAAAATTACTGGGCCGATTTCAAAAACTCTTACACTATTAAAAAGCTACGTTATCAGTGAGTAACATAGATTATTTTTATTATTATTTAAATCACGAGGACGAAGTCGCAAGCAACAGCTAGTATACACTGATATCAAATAGAGGTATGACTTGTATTTTTGTATGTATTGAAATAACGCAAAAACTACTAGCCCGATATGAAAAATCCTTCACCATTAAAAAGCTACGTTATCGCTGAGTAACATAGGCTATATTTTTAAATTTCACGTTGACAAAGTCGCAAGGAACATTTTTTAAACCACTTATTTGTTTATGTCAATAATTAATTTTGTTACTTTAATGGTTAAATACTATGTAACACCTCAAAGTAATTAATTTGATGGCAAATTACAAATAATCAAACCATCAATTAAGCTTTAGTAATTACGTTAATGGCTGCTCACACGAGTTATTTAACTGTACCCAATTATTGCTTATTTATTTGTAGATTCACATCTCTCAGTCTATCTTTTTGATTTATTTATCAAGTTTGTCGCTGGAAAGCCGATGGTTTTATATAATTTTAGCATCTTGATTACCTAAAGCTTTGATTCTGCCCTCGCAAGAAATTCGCTGTCATTTTATTTTCCTCCTTTTATTTAAGTTATGCTTTTCAATGTGTACAAATATTTTCTATATTAAGACAGACCGAGAGAACCCTTTACATTATAGTTAAATTCGATCATTAAGAACACATTTTTTTTTATTTTATCGCACTATGAATGTAAAGATAAATCACATAATTTTATTAAAACATATGGATTGTATTTACTTAATAGTGTAAAAGCTTGCAGTGACGTATGGAGAGAAAATAAGCTTTACTTTTCCTGACAGACCTTTTAAAATAAATCTTGTGACCATCGAACTTTCTTTAAACTTCTTGAAAAGTCCTGAATAAAATTTAAGAGTCCTGAACTGTTGAACACCGATGTTTTAAACTTATACCATTTGCGACTTTATAATCTTTTTCTATTTTCTCATATATCTTAATGGATTTCTTTTTATGTATGTTAACAAAAAGTCTATCGTCCGAAGAGTCTCAAATTATTTCCATTACATATTTGACATAAAACTAATGTGATAGGCTTACATAATATACATTTTATAAAATATATTATGGACATTTTAAGGAACAGTTAAAATTTTCTTTATGGTCGTAATTAAAACAATTTGAATCGTTTTCAGATGCTCGAGAAGATTGCGCAAAGTTTTTATTCCTATTTTAATTACCTACAAACTTCTTATCTTACTTACCCTTTCAAAGTTAATAACAAATACATTTGAAATAAATTAAATTACTATGTAAAAATTTTGTTTTTTGGTCCATGGACCATTAATTTTATACCCAGCTCCCAGAATACAGATAATGAGCAAGCTAACCTGATCAAATATTTTGTTTTCTTAATTATTTATTTTTGGTAGCAAAAGTGTCAACTTTTAACATTAACTGCTTCATTAAAGTTAATATACTCAGTAAGTTACTTTTCTTTCAAAGTACAATAAGTGGAAGTAAATAAGAGTACTTAAACGTGACTAAACGTTCACCAGAAAGCTTTTCATGTTATGTAATTTGTTTCAACAAGCGTAACGAGCCGGCTTTAGTTTATAATTCGGCTCACATACGTTCCGTCTCATAGCCAGAATTTACGGTTACAAGTGAGGAATTGAAACACAAAGTCAAGTACATGGTTAAGTGTGATTTATAATACTTAAAGTTTCTATTTCAAAAAAGATACTTAAGTAAATTAATATTTGATCTAAAAGTCTATTGTGTTTTTAAAATGCTTGTATAATTAATGTTGCACGTTTTTTTATACTAATATTATTAAAGGGAAAGATTCGTATTTTTCGATTTTTGTATTCGATTCATGTAAAAACTACTGAGCCGATTTGAAAAATTCTTTCACCATTAGGAAGATAATTTATCTGTGAGTAACATAGGCTATATGGCTAATTTTATTTTTTATTGTCACGCGGGAGAAGTCTCGAGCAACAGCTAGCATTAGATATGTTCACAGGTTTATAGTTTATATTTTAAGAGAAATGGGTCCAATAAGTTTAAATTGCATAGTTATAAAGAGAATATTAAAGTAAAGCTTGAATTACACTGATGTCTGTTAAATGTTTGTTAGTTCCTACATTTAATCTGGTTAGGCTCATTACCTTAGAGTGTTGTGACGTCACGTTATACCTACTTCTCGACTAGCACATTTAA